GGTGCAGCTATTCTATGGCACGCAGAGGCAGGAGACGTACCGATTGGTCGAGGTGTTTAACCACCAACCTGCAGACTTCAAACACATGTCTGTGATAGCGGAGCTGGAGCAGAGCGGCTTGGGGCCAGCGGACGCACCCAGAGGCTCGTAGGGGAGACCAGAGATGGGCCGGCGTCACCAACCAGCTCGCCTGCAGTCAGATTTCCCAGGAACTATTGGTCGTCATCTAAAGTCACAAAGAGAAATGTGCTTCTTTGCTCCGCACTTTGCACTGGGATACACCTGTTCTTCATACTGTATGCAACGTTTACAGCAGCGGCTGTGATTCAGGCAAAAGAATTGAAAGGAGCATCAGAAGCTTCTCATGAACTCCGTCTTGATCATCTGACATTTGCAACACATCTGGTCATTGGGCATGAACTTGTAACCACAGGAGAATAATGTGGTATTGATCAGTTCTATGATAAATAGATTCCACTGTATGCTACCCTCCATATTAGACTGGAGCAGAAAGCCTTTGTTAGCCCAGTAGCTATCCCTGAAAAGTCATTACGTTGAATAAATCATCTTGAAAACCCCAAATCTTTCAAGCTCATCGCTTTCATGCTGAAATATTAGAAATTTCAAAAATTTACTGTCATTTGTCGTTGCACAAACGCATGACGGTGTCGAGTAGTACAGTTTGGGTTGTGACGCAGCACATAATCGCCAGATTTTCCTTTGCAAATTGTAGTTTCAAACAATTATAATACGCATGTAATTTCCAAAGTGAAGTTATTAGTCCCAATTAACATTTAATTTTTAAGTAATTTTCATCAAGTCACAACTTAGGTCTTTGTTCCCGAGTTAAAGCCACCATTCCTATCTGTAATAATAATTGTATTAACCAATTTAATTGCCAAGATTTGGTTAAGCAACGTGTCTGATCGTCTGACTGCTCATGTTTCTTGCTCAGCTGTAATCTACAGTGTGCACTGTGCCAGTTTTTACTGCCAAAGTTGTATATCTTCAAATTCTACACATAGTGGCTTCTTAGCCAGCAGCAGTGACTCATTAAGTGGTTGAGGATGTCACCCTGCAGGTATGTAGACATTCAAGCAGGTTATATAAGTGACAAGGCACCAGAGTAGCATTTTGGATGAGATGTCACTTCAGTTACATATCGCATCAGAGGTTGGAGGTTTGTTTATTTTAATTCTGTACTTAACATTTTGAATTTATTTTGGCACCTGAAGGAAACGTAGGAGATTGTGGTCTTTGAGACGCCACCAGAAGTCCATCATTGTGAACGCGGTGCGTCAAGCAGCTCTCATCTCCTCGAGAGGATGCGTGTTTACTACATTGGCCAATACTTTCAGAAGCCCAACTGGAAAGGTAAGAATGTGTTTGAAATACACAAGAATTACACAGATCAGTTGTATCAGTTGTTGTTTTATTACCCCCTGGTGGCCATATATCAATTTATACAGCTGAGTTAGACTGCACTTTTACCATTTTGGTGCAAAATCTTTGGCAGTCCTCCGTCAGCTTTGGTAAATGCAGTTTAGCAGCAGTAAGTGCCGTTAGGTTTATTTGGGGAGGCCCAAAACAGCTTGGATGCTGTGCCATGAATGCAAAATCATGATGGAGAGCATCAAATCTTACTATATGACTTTTCCCAGATCTAATAGTTAAAATTCCATCTTTAGCAAGTTTAACTTTTTTGGGTATTGTTTATTTAAAATCTGCTCTAGCTTTTCCAAATTTTGTACACAGATATGGTGATAATGGTCCAAAATAATGTTTTATATCCAGATATAAAGCAGGACATTAAATAATGTGATTTGTCAAGAACAAGACGAAGCTGATAGTAGTTCACTCACTTTTATTGTATTTATACATGAAAAAAATACTGTGCAAATCCCCAAACGCAGTCATTAAGGGATGGTCAGATATTCAGTCAAAAACAAAGGGGGGTGGGGGGGGATTCCTCACAATAATCCTCCTGACAAACATTAACTCACACACATCCGAGCACAGAGAGCTGAAAAGATGTTACCGGTTGTTTCCTTGACATCAGAAATTAATTTCATGATTACTAGAATAAAATGAATGTTTTTAATGAATATAGGAAAGGAAAAACGCATCACAGGACGATTATATTGCAATCATGTAAAGCGAAACGTGTGAATTTTGTCCCCTCTGGCTTTCCGTACACACACCATGGCAAAACTTACAGCATTCAATTTTAGCTGGACCAGCAATAATATGCTACAATTCTAGTTGTATCAAAATCTTACAAAAGGCTCCAACAATGTTAAAGGAAACAATTTCTCCACTAACATCCTCATCTAATGCTCCTAAAGTTGGTGGACTGTAACACAGAACAGTGGCTGGACTTTAACAACTGTTCGCATTGTCAACCATTAAGAACACAAAAGATATAAGACAATACAAAACACTGTCACATTTCATTTCAAACAAAACACAAAATCTCTCAACGTTCATTATTGAAACATCAAACTACATTATTAACAAGAGATTTGACCTTTTCAACATTCACAGTGCATCAAAAGTACCAAAACTACAAACTATTGGATCTAAACCTCCTGAAGTGCTTTTAATCATCTAACCCACAAACACATTTCTCCAAGAACACTGAATCCAACATCATATTTATTAGTAAAGTATCAGTGGATGAGCTGATCCAAACCCGTCAGAAAGCTTCAGATGGTTTGTAGAGTACTTCAGTGGTTAAATAGTATCCTGTAACCTCATAAGGATAATTTAAGACAAGAAATATGGTAAATGGACTGTACTTATGTGTAATGCCTTTTGTAGTCTTCTGACCACTCAAAGCGCTTTACAATACAAGTCACATTCACCCCATTCATACACTGATGAGGCTGAATCATTGATTCTGGACTTACTGTTAATCCTGGGTTTATTAACTAATTTACTAGTTAATTGGAATATTGTTTTTATTTTTTATTTTTAAATGTTGGTCTCAGTTGTTTGCTGATAAAATCCAAGAAAGGTTCAAATTGAGGGCAACTGGACTAGTCCTTGGATCCAAGTCTCTTGGATGGGGGACGAAATGTCTTGAGTATCTTCAAGCACCTTGATTTTAACCTTCCTTGGATAACTATGACCTGGATGACTGAGAACCTTCACAGACAATTTGCTGATAAAAATGTGGTAATATTAAAAATTATTCTTTGACTGTCCAAGACTCCGTGTCTCACAGAAGTCCAGCCAATGATAGGTTTGCATCAACAGCACTAGGGCTGTTCTGGTGTGGGTATGTTGCTACACATTATCAGTAAGAAGAACCAGAGTCCGGTTTTAAGACTTATTAAAGCGAAGCAAATCTTCACCATGCGTCATTCACACAAATTCGACCGCTGGACTGTTTCTTCAGTGTACAGACTTTAGCTGTTCGCTAACTCGAAACGGACGTGTTTGTATGGCAGCTCAGACTAAACTGGTTCTTCCTGTCAATTTTAAAGATTGTCCCCTAAAAGCTGATAATTCAAGTCATCAATAGCCATGTTTCCATCTAATTGTCATGCAAATTTTAGGCAAACTTATGAAATGAACAAAAGGTACATTTCCATCTACTGGTTTGGCGCAAATAAAGTTGTACTTGCGTAGTTACGTCAGTAGTTGACGTTGCACATGGCTGTAACAATAAACAAAACTTATGGGTTCCAAACCAAAAACAAAACCAGTCGCGGCCATTAATCTTAAAAAATGGCGCGAGGTCCTCAGGAATGTGTTTCAAGCGGGTAAGTTGCAACCAGCCATGTCTCCGCGCGTTATGGGAATATCCGGCAAGACGCTGACAGCTGATCGGACGTGAGATACAAGTTCGCTACATCAGAACTTATTCGGCAAAAGTGTTTCCATCTCCCATTTATGTACTAACTTAACACTTTAAGCAAGCATAAGCGCTTTTTAGCAAAATTAAGGATTCCCCCCCTCCCCCCCGGATTTGCCTTTTCCATCAACCTTTTCTAATGCGATACTTCAAAATGCGCATTAAAAACGTTTATGGAAAGACGGCTATTGGAGCAGAGTTTTTTGTTTTGTTGCTGCATCATTGTACAAAGAAAAGCAGGAGCATCAGCATGACAGGCTGTAAACTTTACTACCCCAGTCTTAACCTAACCACAAAACTAACTGAAGGAAACGGCAGAGCATAGCAACTCGTGTCTCTCGTCTCTAGTGCTGACTGTCAATGAAGTCGCCTTAACTACTTTTGAACTAGACGCTGGTACAATAATTTACCACACACGACAAGTTCAAACATTTATTGTCACCCGGCCGGGCAAATGGGCTTCTATTCAAAGCCACACGCATCTTTTGTCGTTTTTAAAATGCATATCCCACAGGGAGCATTTTGTCTGATTATGATGTTTAGATTTTGTTGATTTGGTAATCGGCGCTTATTTTGTGCTTCTATATATTTTTTCCAGTTTTAAGTGTTTGTTTTACGATCGGGACTTTGCACAGGGTGTTTTATTTTGAAAATTGACCCTATTCTCTATGCCGTTCTGTCTATGCTCTGTGCTCTCAAAGTATCATGGCAGCAACAGTAAGCTCCTCCCTATTACTCTGGCAAAGTAAAACATTTGCAAAAAGCTACATGGTGTTCTACCTGGTATGTATGCTTCCACATATTTGATTGGCCAACAAAGTTTCCATATACATTGGACTGTGCTGCAGCACAAAAAGAAGCCAGGAAGAACCTTTTCCTGGACTAAACGTTTGCTTTTTTGTCAGCGCTCTGTGCCGCAGCAGCCCCTGCTGAGGTTTCTTGGTGCAGCGCTCCTGTCACTCTGTACGCAGTCCTAATCGTACCATGTGCTCCACTTCTGCGACTCCCTGAGTGGTTGCTCCGCCGTCCTGTCTCAGTACATGGCTTCAGTGTCTCGGATGCTTCCAAACGACAAACTGAAAGTGCTTCCTAGTCTCTTAGTGACCCCGCTGCCTTCCCTCTTCTTCTTCCTGTTCCAGTTCAACAAAGAGGCGGAGCTCTGGCCCTTAGCTCCTCCCAGCAGACGCTGCCGACTGTTTTCTTTATCGCTGCTGTGGGACAGCATGACGGCCCTCCTGTCCGCCTGTTAACACACACACAGGCAATGTACACAGGTAAGCACACATACATTGAAAGAGCAGCCACAGACATCTCACACACACTGACCTGCGTATCATGTGAGTGTAACGTGACCACACTGAGCTCCACTCCTCTGTCGCTACAGCTCTTCAGCATGTGGACCACCTCGCCATGTTTGGCCCATTTACAGTCCTGTCCATCCACAGCTACTATGTAGTCTCCTTCCCTTAGTCCTGCCTCCTGCGCAATACACAAAAAGAGTTAAAATTTAATGACAAAAGTGAGCAAATCATTTCAAATGCAAATTCTGCAACTAATTATAATTTGCACGTGCAGGTCAACTATGTGTTAAAATTTGTGGTCGACTGTTCTCATCTCTCCACTCAGGGCGCATTGTCCATATAGTGGTCAGAAATGTATAATTGTAGCTTTAATAAACAGTGACTGAAATTGTTATCATGTAGATTTTAAGGTAGATTCAACACATGGCTCCTTGTTTCCTAATTGTAAAGGGGTTTTATTAAAACCACTAATTTAAATCTAAGTCTGTTTAAACAGATTTTCAGCTGGAGTTTATTGGAGCTTCACTGCAGTTTTCATAAAATAGTCCTTTTGTAACAAGCATAGCTCAGAAAGGTTTCCAGCAAAAGAAAAGAAAAATTGAAATAAAATTAGCTGAAATTTATGCATTAGTCCCTCAAAAGAAAAAGACTGGGTGGATGTATTGCAAATGGTATTTTCACCCAACTTTTCTTTTGAGATTTTAAACTGTTTTCCAATAATTAGAACAACTCTAGTAAGAGATTTTTTTTTTTTTTTACATTAACAATGAATCAGAATCTAACTTTTGAAACCATCCCAGTTTTACAGACCATGGAAGACATGAGCAGTACTACAACTGATTTAAAAAAAACAAACAAACTGAAGATGTCTATGAAGATTCTCAGTCATCCAGATCATAGTTATCCAACGAAGGTTAAAATGAAGGGCAACTGGACTTGGTTGAAGCTACTGGAAGACGTTTTGTCCCTCATCCAAAGGACTTCTTCAGTTCTGACTGACTGGCAGGGAAACTCAGCTATTTAACCTCAGTGGGGTCGTTGGCCCGGGTCATCGATACCGCTGGTTCGTTAGTGTTCCTTGTTGCTGTGACGACAGTCGTTACAGTCGTTGAGACTACCTGTGGCCAAGACTGAACGACCATCGTTGGTATCTTCACCTGAGGCCAATAGGTTACGTTTGTTGAGTTTCCTGGGAAGTGATGAAAGGACAGCATTGTAAGTGGGGGATAAGTGGTGGCGTAGACCCCCTCCTCTGTTCAATGACGGCTTCTCCACCCTGGTGTAGATGGCTTCCTTGACACCTCTTTCAAACCATCCATCTTCTGTCTAAAATGTGCACCTGGTGGTCCTCAAACGAGTGTCTGTCCTTCAGATGTAAGTAGAGACAATCTGGTGTATGCGGTCCAATGCAGTGAGGAATGCACAGACCTGTATATTGGGGAGACTAAACAACCACTACACAAACGCATGGCTCAACACAGAAGGGCCAACTCCTCAGGTCAAGACTCTGCAGTCTACTTACATCTGAAGGACAGAGGACACTCGTTTGAGGACCACCAGGTGCACATTTTAGACAGAGAAGATGGATGGTTTGAAAGAGGTGTCAAGGAAGCATCTACACCAGGGTTGAGAAGCCGTCATTGAACAGGGGAGGGGGTCTACGCCACCACTTATCCCCCACTTACAATGCTGTCCTTTCATCACTTCCCAGGAAACTCAACAAACGTAACCTATTGGCCTCAGGTGAAGATACCAACGATGGTCGTTCAGTCTTGGCCACAGGTAGTCTTAACGACTGTAACGACTGTCGTCACAGCAACAAGGAACACTAACGAACCAGCGGTATCGATGACCCGGGATAACGACCCCACTGAGGTTAAATAGCTGAGTTTCCCTGCCAGTCAGTCAGAACTGAAGAAGTCCTTTGGATGAGGGACGAAACGTCTTCCAGTATCTTCAACCTTTTTTTTTTTTTTTTTTTTTTAACCTTTCGTTGGACAAACAAACTGAAGTTTGTCTTACCGCTGCACAGCCTCCAGGCACCACTCCGGCCACCAGGACGGGGGAGTCTCCTCTGAGTGTGAGACCCAGTCCACCCTCTCTCCTCTGCAGGCAGATCACACGTACCGGACCCCACCGAGCCCGAGCACAAAACACTGACAGAGGCCCCTGTAGTGGAGGGAAGAGCCATCTTCAACTCAAGTAATAAATTAAGCTGCAGTTTTTATAATGGGTCTCTTAATTGCCTCTGTTTTCATGACCCACGGGGCAGTGGATTTGTGTATTTCCCTAAATGTCAGACTGTTCTCAAAATGAATTTGTCCTACCAGTTGTTGGAAGATATCAGTAACTTGGACTGTAGAGAAGTTGGGTGGAGTGATGTCTGGTTTCTGATGGGTTTGAGCTGACAACAGAAGAGACCACAATCACTTACTGTCATGTAACCACAGAATCATATTATTGATACGACTTAAAACTGGCACTTACACTGTATCTCCGGAGCCTCTGCGGTTTCATCAAAGTCGTCCTCTCTGTCCAGCTCGGAGTACTTGTCCAAAGAGCGTTTGTGTGTGAGAGACAGCACGTCCTGCAGGATGTCCATCTTCCTCAGGATCTTACACAGACTGTGGACACGCATGGCCTCCTCATGTCTGATCACTGCACGCCGCAAGTGAGCTTTACCTGCAGACACGTAGGCATACAATTAAAAACATTTGTGAATACAACTTTTTACACAAAACAGCAGAATTAAGAATTTTTTAATTCCTAACTCAATAATATTTGCACAAAGTTGACTTTCACAAAAATGTAAATGCTTATATGTCACAAGCCGTAAAGAACTCACCGAGCTTTCTTCTTTTTTCAGGGTCTCTTAACACCTGGCTGAGTGGTGGCCCTGCAGGAACGTTGATGTAGAACTGAAGGAAAGCCTTCTCTGCTTCCTCGTCACCTTCCTCCTCCTCCTCCTCAGCAGACACTACAGGACAAGACGCGCCATTTATTAATCCGTGTAATTCATTCAAAACCTACCCTAACATTTCTAAAAGGTACTTCATTTCATTCTTAAGAGAATACATGTCAGGCAAATTTAACTAAGATGAGGCAGGATTTCACATTGCATAGTTTAAATGCTGTCCTGCCATAACAAGTCTTGGCAGTCTGCTCTGCAAATTATCACAAACTGAACAGGCCATAGTCTGCACTACAAAACCTTATCCATGCTATCTGTACAAAGTGCTTCTGTCTCAATAATAATGAATGTAATTTGTTAATCTTGCTTTTAGTTTTTAGGATGGCTCTTTGTACAAGGCCTCAGCTTGCTACCTCTTCTGCACAGTATGTGTGTTTTTTGTATATATAAATGTCTTCATGTCTTTATCTCTGTGCTAGGGATGCAGGGATTACCAGATTTCAGTATTAACCAAGCTTTAAAACGTCACAGTTAATTAATCCTGAAGGCTCCGCTACACAGAGTGTTTCTGTTGCAGGGAAAGGAACTGTTGCAACTTGCCCAAAACGAAAATAAAAAGTTACATGAGCGTTGCACCAGCTTAAAGTGCCGTGCTTATCAGAGACACGGGGGCTACTACTGTACACTAGCGTAACTCTGGCAGAGGGACCAAACTGTGAAGCTTTATTTCCACCAAAGAAACAGCTGAAGTCGGCATTGTGGGATCATTTCCTGTACACCAAGACTGACCAGGGCGTTACTGAAGATGATGGATCACCTTGCCATTCAAAGGTTGCTGCTAAAGGAGCGAATACCTACATCAAACTTGATGCAGCACCTGAGGGATCACCACCCAGCTTTGCACGCCCAAGTAAAGGTAACTGAGTTAAATAACGTGGCAAGTTGGTAGGGAAGTAAATATAAACGTGTCCCTTACAATCAATGCCGGTGAGAGTCGAGCTTTCAGTGCATCGTAAACAAACAAAGCAGCATTTAACCTTTCAGACCCACCGCAGCACTATGAGGCCCATTATTGGCAATGGCTTATGCCACGCCACGGTGGGTTGTCGCTGCGTTGGGCAACGCGCACCGCATCGCTTGGCGAGCTTGCGTGCGCTCGCGTGCACACTACGGCTAAAGTACTTGAAATTTTGCACTGAACCCAGCTAGCAATGCAGTACAAATCACTTGTTTTCTGAAAGGGCCGTCATGGAAGACGTTGTCCTCTGCAGACCTTCAGTCACTGAACATTTAACGTTACATCCTGCTGCCTCCTATTGTCTGCGTTGAGAAAATGTTGTATGTTAATATGCCAGGTATAAAACACTAACACTAACATAACATCAGAAACTTATAAACTTCCAGGACTACCAATTACCTGCATTTCTGGTCTCAATTTCAATCATTTTCACTAAAACTTACACATGAGTTTAGAGAGTTGATTACAATAACAGTTCAGTTTATTCCCCTCCATACTAATAACTAATATTTGTCTTATAATATTAATAATACTTTGATATTAAAGATGTATAATTGTTAATGTAGTTAAATATTAAATCAACTTAAGTAATTAACTAGTGTTAAATAATTAATGCATAATAATGGTGACAATCTTGAAACCGTGATTATTCCTCTGACTATAATCGTACCAACAAAATCTGTAATCATTGCATCCCTACTCTGAGCAAACACAGACCATTACAATTAAAAACAAGTCGATGTGGATGAAGAATTAATTCCTCTGCAGAGGACGACAGTGTGAACACTAGAGTGGGTGTGTGCGACTTACACGTATGGTCACAGAGTGCAACAGCAGCGTAGTAGTGTGAGAGGGCACGGAAGTGTTCAGATTTAACCTGAACCATGGACGCCCAAGAAAACGGCACGTAGTCCTTCATCAGAGGCTGCGTCATGGTCTGCTGCACTAACAAGTAGACGTCTGACACCTACAGGACACGCGAGTGTGAGAATCACGGGATATCAACGGTCACTACACAGACAACCAGAGACGTGGTAACTCACCCGTGCGGCCTCTTGTGCCAGGCGGAGTTGGGAAGTGAAGTGTGTGTCCTGTGTGGTGAGCGTGACCCGCTCAAACACACACTCCTGCACCTGGGCAACCATCAGCCGTACCAGCATGCAGAGCGATGGACTACTCATGTCCAGACTAGGAGCGTTGGAGAAATTCTCCTTAAGGTAATTAAATGCACCTGAACAGATACAAGGAAATAAAAAAAAAAAAACACATCCAAAATATTTTGTTCTGAAACAATCACTTGATTAATTAAATCAGTCCTAATGTCATATTTGAGGATTTGCTGCTTTTTATATTATTAACTGATCTGATCTTTAGGTTTTGGACAGTTAGTCAGACAATACAAGCATTTGGAAGATGTCGCCCTGAGTTATTGTAACAGGCAAACTTATTTGTAGCTATTTTTGTTTTACATCGAATAGATTTAATATTAATATAATGGCTAGAATAAACAATGCTTAAAACAATAACTTGCTGTTAGAAATTGTCCTAATGATAGGAGTAAAATGTGGACCGTACTCTAGCAGATAAGGTGAATCAACTCAGCTGTTTTTTGTGCGAAACAATCCTTCTTTTATGTTTAAACTGTGTTGTTTCAGTACCTGCAGCTCTCTGAAAGGCATCTATAGCTTTGTCTATGCCAGCTGTTGCAGAGCGGTCCTGCCGTGCTCCAATCTGTGTGTACAGAGCACCGATGTTGAACAACACACTTCCTTTCTCAAAGGCCAACGTTCGCTGACACGACGGGACGCCTGTCAGAGAGTCGTACCTGGGGGACAGAGGAGAAGGAATAAAATTACTTTGTGCATCTGTTTGTGTGTCATCAATCAATCGTATGAATCACTCTTTCACTTTTATACAGTTTTACAGCTACATATTTTCTATTGTCTTTGCACTCTATCTTGAAATAAAACTGTGACCATGACGTCTAAGTGCAGATTTGGCAGCCAGAAATGTTCTGCTGAAGACCAATGTGAGGGGCGGTGAGCCCTCCGAGCCTTAAGTAAAGCTGTCTGCATACAGGGCTGGCAGAGCATGGATGATATCTTTAGAAGACCAATCCCAGAGCTGGTTGCTCATAACAATATTGATGAGTGCCAAGTAATTAAACTGAGAAGTAAAATTGTTTATGCAAAAGATGCTCATGTCGTACCAGTGGAAGTGCACGCCCAGGTTCCTGTGTAGAGGGAAGAAGCGCTGGTCCAGGTAGTACAGCTGGTTGTAGTACTCCATGAGTAGCTCCAGGCCGGACTGGTTGCGACTGGGTGTCCGCATTGCCTGGACCCAACAACACACATAAATATGAATCACACTGATTTTATACAACCCTCTTACTGAAAAAACAGATTTAATACTAGCCTAGAGTGTATTTATTAACCTGTCTGAGCTCCATAAGCTCTTTGATTTCCTTGTCGTAGAGAGAGCTGTCCTCTCCGTAGTGCTCACAGATGAAGTCCTGTGAGGGGAGACAAACAATCACACAATGAAATCTGCAGAGGACTTGACTGAGTCTTTAGAGCCCCTCAGTAGCCTTGCAACAAATATATAAATAAAAAAAGTAAGAGTTTGGTGTCTGATCAAACCGCCTTGATCTATTTAACATAACTCAGGATAGAAAATCCTTGTTTAAAATCACTGGAAATCATTGACTTTGCGTTCTAAGTTGGAAAAACAAGCTTGACACATTTAGTGTTTCTGCTAAGTAAAGCAGAAACATCTTTGGATGCGAGGTTAATTCAGGATTTGTCCGGTACAACAACATAAAAAAATTAATTAATAAAATATCAGGCCAATTGATGTGTGTTGTTTTCAGTTTCAAACTAGCGTCAAAGCTGAAACACTGCTCCTAAAATGAGGATAACAATTTTCCTTCACTACCTTGTTCTAATATTTTAAACGTAATTCATTCAGACCTCTGTATTTACCTCTGGAAGAAAAGAAAATGTAGTAAAAGGAAAGTGAAATATGAGTAGATGGGTGCCATCTTCACCTGGATACTAACTGTGAAGTCCACTTCTTTGGTTTCTTTCAATCCGAGTGGGATCATGGGAACGTTGACAGCCTCACTGTGAAAAGAAAGACACACAGTGTGTGTGTGTGTGTAATCTTTCACACGTTACACTATGCAAACACAAACACAGTGCAGGTTATAGCCACCGTCAAGTCAGCACAGATGTCTGCTTGTCCTGAAACCCAGCAGGCTAATTGCTCTGCATCCCGCCAATAAGCAGAGCTAATGCCAAGTATTAACCCTTACGGCCCCGACACCCCCCTCAGTCCCTCATTCACAATGAACATAAACACGCACACACGCCACGGGGTCACTAATCAGGAGACTTATCCTTCCCATGAACCGGGAAAATCTCCTGGCTGTGCAGAACCGCGCACACACACACACACACACACATACACTTCTGAAGATTCTCATTGACATAATTATGTAGCCTTGACTGAAACTTACCCCCACAAAGATAGAGCCCAGCACAAGCACATACACACTGTGCGAACTGAAAAACATAATGGATGCTTGTTTTCACCAATTATAATTCTCAGACTAATGAGAGTGACCTGGAATTCACAGAACAAATAGTAAATGGGCCGTGATTGTGTGTGTGTGTGTGTGTGTGTGTGTGTGTCAGAGCTGTTTACCTGTCTGTCTGGTAGACCTCCATGTTGCTGTTGAGCTCCTCCAGCTCCTCTTTGAGCAGCTGCAGGTTGGAGTTGACGAAGCTGAGCTCCAGAGCCACCGTCTCCTTCACCTTGTTGTTGGTCGTTGCCCTAAAAAAATTTTTAAAAAAAATAACAAACATGCACATCAGATCTCATCCTTCATTAACACAAAACAGACTTTCATTTCCAAATGTGACAGGTGAAAATGTGTTATTTTGACATGCCAACAATTTCAAAAAGCAAATCTGTGTCCTTGCCACAGCTCAGAAGGACGTTCAATCACAAACATCACAAACACTCCCACCTCCTAAACTTAATAATTCCTAATTAAATTAGGCCAGAAATCTATCATAACTGAGCACTTTGCACAACCTAAAGATTTGCTGCTTTCTAAAATGTATTATCTTTTGGTTTTGGATTGTTGGTCCAACCAAACAAGACCATTTTCTGGCATTTTATAGACTAACTGATAAAAAACTGAAATATAATTTACAAATCAACTGATAATACAGTAATCAGCATTTGCAGCCCTAAAGCTCAGCCAGTTTTCCATAATGTTCTAGGATTGGTAACATTATGTCAGTAACTTCTAACTAACTTTATAACGGATACTGTAACTTTATGTATCTGCCTTCTTCTTCTTCATCTGACTCGGGCATTTCTATAGCCGGGCTTGTGCCTTAACTCAGCCATGCAAATACAACCACCAACGTCAGCACTGAGATGTATAAAATAGTACTACATCTCAGGGGATGTTTTGTTGCTGCGTGTCCTCAGCTGCTTCATCACACAGCTTAGGATCTCAAATAACACTATCCACCTTTAAAACTGACTTGCAGGTGTAAATCTGCATCCGTGGATGAAACGGTAACTTAAGTATTTTCCATGTTTTTGTGTCTAATGTGGCAGATTGGGACTGGAAATTCTGGCTGGTCCCGCCTCCCACATCAGAGATCCCCGATTGGAGCGGCGCAACGACCCTACTCCAATCCCTGAGCTGCCTGCAAGACCGCTTTCAAGCTCCTCCGGTTCAAATATGCTGGTTTGCTGCTGTGTGGAGACAGCTACCATTCTCCATGTAGTTTGCCTCTGTGCTGTCTTTAGTTGCAAATTAGTAGCGATCACTTTTACTGATAGCTAATGAGAAGGTGCTTATGGCCAGTCTCACAACAAAACTGTGTGCCTCCAGTTAGTGTTACTGAGAGGCTGTAACACTTCCTGTTTCGAAAAATAGAGTGATTTGTGTCTTGTTTGGTCTGCAGAATCGGGCCAGGGATCAGCTTATTACTGACACCGTTTACACTTTTAGTCATTTATTGTATTAGACCCACTAGGTTTAGTGGTGCTGCGCTCCCTGTGTTTCTGTTTAAAACGACGACTTAAGAGAGGTTTTTGTTTCTCCTTTTGTTTTTAGTTATTAATCCCTTGTTTTGGAGGGATCTCTTTTGGTTATATTTCGCAGCACCCACTTGCCCAATTTATGTTCTGACTTTTGTTTGTTAACCTCTGTGTAATAAATAACTTTTCCACATTTACCAAGAACATCTGGTTTATGTTTATGTCTCCCCTACCGCCTAGCGAGCGGGGACGTAACAGGGACAGTTTTTAAACGGTTCAGTATTGAGCGAATTTCAAAAAAAAATTTAGTCAGTTTAGTCACATAGACACAAAAACATTGAAAAACAGCTTTGTTACCCTTTAAGCATGGCACCATTAACACAAAATGCAGGGGACTTTTCTTGGACAAAGAGCCTGTCTTTAATTTATGCAACTATCTCATCTCCCCACCCTCTCCTCTATCGTCCTCTCTGTTTATTCACTTCAAGATTCTCCGCTCCTCCTCCAATCACAGGGGGTTAGGGGGGTCTTAGCTGAGTAAAGCCAGCTCACACTGCTGCAGGGGTCTGAGGTCAACAAGACACAATGTTCCTGGATATCTGAGGCATCACTGGGTTGCCGTATTAACTGATGATGCACACTATGTTGAAAATGTGGCCCAGGAAATCCCCCTCATTGTGCAATCATTGAATTTCTCAATGACATGACAAGACCGAGTTGTGAGGGGGCATGTACAAGAACAAGATGGCCACAAACATTTGGTTGAGCGCTGGTAAGAAGAGGGCTGCAAAACAAAACTTAATAAGATAAGTGACATTTTGCACATGAATGCATCATTCTGGCAGACTTTTTAAATAAATAAAACACTTTCAAGAGCGGAAGAAATAATAAATACAGATAAAAGAGACACAAAACTAGGGCTGGACAATATGGTCAAAAATGTTATCTAGATAAAACATTTATATTGTTTGATATCGATAATTATCACGATAAATAATATTAAAATATTTCTTTCAAGTTTAAAGGCTGATTTTTGCTGCTGAGTGAAAGTTGAAGAAACCAGATAGCTAACTGTGGTTTTAAACTTTTCTTTATGGTCAAAACAAACACAGTGGATCCCTAAACAACTCATAGGTAGAACATTCAAAACAATTGTGATAAAATATGTATGTAACAAATACGCAAGTAAATTTAAGAAAATCTTCAGTCCCTTTTCCTCAACAAAATAAATATCTTATTGTTTTATTGCCCTACACACAAGAATTTTTTTCCCGGCCACCTTAACAAAATCTACATACTGGAAACACTGATCATTTCAGTCTCTCAGTTCTTTTGGGTAAAAAGAGATTTAAGGACTTGATGCTGAGTCATCAGATGCATCATCAGGTGGAGGATTTGGGGAGGAAAGAAACACAAGATGAGCCGTCAAGAGAAAAGATGACACATTCGTAGAATTAGCCAGGTGTGGTTGTGTTGGGTTACAGATAAATGCACTTCGACTAAATATTAACACTTGCTGTGCCTACAGGATGTTACGGACGAATGTTTGGCCACCGAAATGCACCGGACGAAAATGGCGCGCGGGGGGGGGGGTTAGAAAAACACAGAGTAGGCTTTATTCTTTTTTACCTGCCCTCCACCTTTAACAGCCCTGATTAAAGTTAGTTTTTATTGTAAATTTAAGTCAAACCTCTTATTTTTATTATTTATCCCTTGTATTTATCATTGATGTTTAAATCAAATCTCTGTTTCTTCTCAGGTGCTGTTACTCCACTACTTTTTAAAACTATTTTCCCTTTAAATTCACTCCTTGCCAACAGTTTTTCCTCACGAGTATTTTTCCATTCGTCAGGGTGTTAAAGTATGTCGATTAACATCAACTCAGACGTCAATTCACAAAACTGGCAGCCAAAGCAT